GCCACTTCTGATTGGTTAACAATGGCTGGTACATGTGGAGCACAGCACTTCTGATTGGTGTGGATGACTGACAAACAAGAAGAAAAAAAAAGTTAAAAGAAAATCGCAGGCTTTGCGATTTGATAATCGCATCATTTCAAATCGCGATTTCGATTCAAAATCGATTAATCGTTCAGCCCTACTGTACACATCTTTAATTTGAGCTCTCTGAAATAGTTTGTGATCAAATGAGGTTCACTACGACGTGGGAAAATAGTTAAAAAAGGACATTTAAAAATTCAATTGCACCGTTAAAAAATAATCTGTTTCCAATTTGGAGTCTTCCAGCATATAGGTTTAAACTTTCACCTCAGTTTAGAGTCTGAATGACAAGAAAATATGCATTAAGTTCAATTGTATGGTAAATTAATGTGATTGCTGTATTTATTTCTTTACAGAATAAGGAAAATGATGACTCCAACGGTTTCACAGGAGCGGTAAGATGTCAAATTTGTAAACAAAATATATACATATATATTTCCCGCTGGGATCAAGCAATATTTAATAAATTAAACTACAACTGACCATTTATCATGCCAATATTGGTATCAAAATAGATCAGAAACTATTATTGGCTGGAACAACATTTTAACAATGGGTTTCTTATTATTTGTGTTTGCTTCTGTATAACAGTTCGCAACCCCAAGCATGGTGGCAGGCCCACAGCGCGTTCAGGTGAAACCACGAGCAGAGATGGACAAAAAGGCCATCACAGGTAACATTACCCGCCTCTTCTATAAATAACATTCAAAAACCATAAGAAATGTTCCAGTTTCAATTGTATTATTATTTCAGGCCCAGGGCGAGAGTGTGTTGGCTCACCCTCCAGTGCAGTCGCAAAGTACGTATAACTCTTAAAAATGTCACGTTTTGTTGCCAGTTGTGTTTTTTGTAATGCTTTCCCAAATCAAAGTGGTTAAAATGAGTATAAATATCCATCTTTTTACTTTCATAAGGAAAATCTCCATCAAGGACTTTGACATCGGTCGACCTCTGGGGAAAGGCAAATTTGGAAATGTCTACCTTGCGAGGGTGAAGTCGCTGCAGGCCGTCGTGGCACTGAAGGTGTTGTTCAAGTCACAGATGGAGAAGGAAGGCGTGGAGCATCAACTCAGGAGGGAGATTGAGATCCAGTCACATCTTAAGTGAGTATCCTAAAAAACATTTTGATAAATGACAAGGAATGAAACCTCTCAGTATCACTTCCTTGTAGGTTATTTGCTACTATCTACCAAGGGTTACAGGAACATAACAAAATGCTCAGAAAATTATTTGTAGGTTGAATGTGCTTAAAGCTTTGTGATTGCTATTATAGTTTCACATAAAATCTATTAAAGGTGGGGTAGGTAAGTTTGAGGAACCGGCTCGAGATACACTTTTTGTTATATTCCATGGAATGCTCTTAACATCCCGATAGCAATGAATATCTTAAGTGCTTTGACAAAAAATCCATAAAAAAATGTCATCTGTGGAAGCCGTAGTACTGTAAAAAGCACGACCAATCATTTTAGCCGGCCCGGCTAAAATAACTGGATGGCCTACCTGCCTGTCAGCCTTCCATCTGTGCACAAACTTATCTCGTGCCCTCATTGGTCATGTGCGCGTTCGTGTGTGTTGGAGGAGGGGCTCTGTAAGGAAGTGGCAGATTTGTTCCGGCTGTGTATTTTCTAATTCCAGCGCACTCGAGCTGGTTTCTCCAAAATTACCTACCCCACCTTTAACTAAACCTGCTCAAACAGGATTTTTGTATCTTCTGCCACGAACATGCTGACCTGAAATGTATTTTAATTTGTTTTCAAAACAAAGACTAACAGATTCCTCATAACACCCTCGGTTTTCTCCTCAGGCACCCCAACATTTTGCGCTTCTACAATTATTTCTATGATGAGACCAGGGTGTTCTTGGTGCTTGAGTACGCCCCACGTGGTGAAATGTACAAGGAGCTACAGAGATGTGGAACATTTGATGACCAGCGCACTGCAACAGTAAGATATGATGTTCCTTCTTAAAGGCATTTTATTTGCGCTGTTATCGTTTAGTCGGTGAACCTAGTTTTGGAATTCTTAATTCCTTCAATCCTCGCTGTGCCCTGTGTTCAAAGAGAAGTTTGACCGATGGACAATTATATCTACAATTTAGTTTTTGTTATCTTGAAAAATAAGTATTCTTTAAAGTCTTGTCTATTAAGTTAACCTCTTTACATTTTTAGTACATGGAGGAGATATCGGACGCACTGTTGTATTGCCATGAAAGGAAAGTGATTCATCGTGATATCAAGCCAGAGAATCTGCTTCTGGGCTTTCGTGGAGAGCTGAAAATTGCCGATTTTGGATGGTCCGTCCATGCACCTTCTCTAAGGTGAGGATCCAATATAAAGTTCTACTGTGTTTTATCAGAACTGTCTCAATACTGGTGAGTCACACGATGCTTGTTGCTGCTTTTCTTAGCTCACTTCTTGTTTTAAAATCTCTCCAGACGTCAAACAATGTGCGGGACTCTGGACTACCTCCCTCCAGAGATGATTGAGGGTCACACTCACAGTGAGAAGGTGGACCTGTGGTGCGTCGGGGTCCTCTGCTACGAATGCTTGGTCGGGAACCCACCTTTTGAAACTGCCAGCCATCCAGAAACATACAAAAGAATTATGAAGGTTGGTGTTGGACAAATATGAATGTTGAGTAATCTTTTCTATAGGAAAGTTTGAGAGAAACACCTGGCAGAAATGTATTTAACCATCTGTAAATGAACTTTAAGGTTTTCCCTCTATATGAGCATGTCATGACCACATTAGGACTTAAATCTCTGCAATGACTAGCAACAAATTATTTGCTGAGGTCATAAAGGGACGGTCTACCCGAAACTCAAAAATACATATTTTTCCTGTATTCCAATTTGCTGTGCTATTTTAGAAAAGACAGAAATATCTACTGCCGATACCTCCAACACAAATGCGCCAAAACAATCTAGTAATAGCATTACAGGTGAACTATATTTGTTTTGGGGGAAACTGTCCCTTGACTGATTTTAATTAAAGTCAAAGGTTATTTTACACCAGTCATGGTTCAGATTTCATTAATAGATGATATCCTACTGTTTGCAGGTGGATTTGAAGTTCCCCAAAAACATCTCAGACGGTGCACGGGACCTGATCTCCAAGCTGCTTCGCCACAACCCCGTCAATCGTCTCCCACTACAGAGTGTCATTGAGCACACATGGGTGCGTGCCAACTCTCGCAGAGTCCTACCACCCGTCTGCCCTGGGAACCAATCCTGAGCCCGCCTCGCCTGCCTACCTCCCACTGAGGGGTGTTTTATCTGTCCTCCACAAGAGACTGGGCCAGCATGTTTTGGTGTCAATGGCATGGGCTTCAAACTGCCATTATATCAGCACATTGTATGATTGGTATTGGGATGGTTTACCCACTTTCGTTCTTGTACAGTGTGATGTCCTTATCTATGTTTATCTAGAGGTGTTTCTATGGTCTTTTCCTTCTTGAACCTTTTTGTTTTCTTTATTTTAAATGTACACAGTTCTATTTTGACTTTCTGTATCAGTGTTGACACCAAAGTACTACTGTTGGACTGATTGAAGCTGACTTTTCTCTAATCGTTTGAGGGTTGTGCTGGATAGCATGTTTTATTTTCCCTCAAGCTATGCTTTTAATTTCTAATAAATAAACTAAAACCATGGGTTGACATTTAAGTAATTGATGATCTAAATGTTTTTGTCATTCTGCCAATCCCAACAGTTTGTCATAACAAATGTGATATTCTGCTTTTTAAACAGTTTTACAAAGTTGTTCATCCAACTAATTTGAAGCATTTTTTATTTTGTATCAACCTTATTTACATATATGAAGCAAAAAGCGTTTAGTTAAAAACAAAACTGACCATTGGTTGATGTATGAAGGTAGGATTTACTGCTGCAACAGGTTTTGATAGTTCAACCTACCAAAACAGAACTTGGTGTAAGAGATTCGCTGAGATTCTTGCCCATTTATAAGCGTATCCTGAAAAACATTTTCATAAAGGTCCAAGAGTGAAACCTCTCGGTATAACTTGCTTGTAGGTAATTTGCTACCATCTACTGACTGTTACGGGAACACAAAGAAATGCTCACAGAATAATGTGTAGGTGAGATTTCCTTAAAAATAGATTAGACGGAAGAATTGTTCCAAATGTGAAAAGTAATTCATAACATTTAAATCATTGTTACGTAATTGCAACAAAATCCGCACTTGATCACTTATGGCCGCACGGTAGCATGGCCGAGCGGTGCGCTGGATTAAGGCTCCAGTCTCTTCGGAGGCGTGGGTTCAAATCCCACCGCTGCCACAATCTCTTTTGTTCCCTGTCAAAATCCAATTTCCAATATCATCATTCAATCTATACTCGTTATCCAATGTAGAGTGGACCTGAGCCAATCACACCGCGACTAACAATGGACAGAGCCAATCACATTATACTGTGAAAGCACACATCATTCGTTACTTAGCCTCGCTAACTTCTGAAACAATTGAATTGTTAGATCAGTTCATAATATCACACCTTATTCAATTAAAAACACATCACATCGATTAATGAGTGAATGTGTAAATGAAATGTGGATTATTCTTGCTGCATTAACCATTCAAACCACTGGATGTCGCCAAATAACAAGAAATAACTAATTTCCCTTTAGTCATTCAAACTCAGAGTTCAACAAGGATAAAAACTCAATGATCAACAGGGATATGTACAAGACCATAACGTTGAATCAAGACAATTTCCGACACTGACTTTTATAAACTATCATGGAAATCTGTTTCAGGCATGTGTGCAAAATAAAGCGGTAATTAACTCGTTTCACGTATAATGTAATAGTGTTACAAGCTTTTATTTAGGTAAGGAAGCCATCCCTTTCAAAGCATTTCCGGTTCAGTGGAAGCCAACCGTTTTTCTCTTTCCGGTTCAAACCCGCTTCGAACTGCACAAACCACAACAGAAGCCTGGGCCGTTCAAGTCGGATATATGCTCATGTGGTTGTCATTATTGCCTAATTTTATTTAACCGAGTGCAAGATAACGCTTACTAGATTCAGACATGGCAGGTTTACCGCCCGGAGACCCACAGCTGGTCTCCATGATCGTCAATCATTTAAAAACTCAGGGTCTCTTCGACCAGTTCAGGAGGGACTGCCTGGCAGACGTTGACACAAAGGTAAGGAAACAGTCATAACGTCTAATAATGTGTAACTGTTTACTGTCTCATATAACTGGTAATGTAACGTCAATATGTGAGTCTTTTTTAGGGTACATTGATAGTAGATATCTGTATTGGGTTGGGTCACCAAAGCTACTCCTCGCTGTAGGTGGAAGAAGTACTCCGATCCTATACTTAATTAAAAGTAGAAATACCACAGTCTAGGACAAGTAAGAGTCTTGTATTCAACATGTTACTCAAGTTAAAGTACAACAATTATACTTAAAGTACCAGCACTAAAAGTACTCATTATGCAGATTGGCTCATATTATTATAACATATTGTTTATGTGTTGGTTATAATGAGTGGTGCATTCATGTGTTTATCACAACTGTTAAATGTTAGGTAGCTTGTGAATGTTACTCCAGGTGTAACTAAAGTCTTATTTAAGTGTTGTCTATATTTCACTTCATAAAACAAAATCTATCGAAAGTAACTAAAGGTACTTAATAAATGTAGTGGAGTAAAGTTTTACCTCTGAATTGTAGTTGTAGTAGTAGGAGTGGAAGTACAAAGTAGTAAAACATTGTGTTTAAGTAGTGTACTTCACATAATTTCATCCCTCTTAGGGTTTTATTTGGGAAGGCATAGTTGTGTTATTTGTTTGTGACAATCAACCAAATCAATTTCGTCCATTACTTTTGTTAAAACTTTAAACGTAAAAAAGTAATGTTCCTGTAGTTTTAATGAGGTTGAAAAAGTACAATAAATACCACTGAGCATTGTTATGATACAGAATAAGTACATATGAATGTGTTGTTGCAACAGTAATTCACATTCACATGTTACATAGTGATGAGGAGGTCAAGTTAGACCTCTATGATAAACAATTTGGATTTACATTATTGTGGGGTTTATATCAGACATGCTACTGACACTTTTTGACAAAGGATGTAAAATGACAATATGAGGGACTATAAGTTTAGTTGCTTGTTGCAATTTGGCAGCTGACTTTCACATTTGCTGTTAAAACAACACAGACCGAACACTAACTATTTTCTTACTACAATTCAATGTATTTAACTATACCAGTGGCTACTTCAGAAGATAAGTTAACCACTTAAACTGACATTTTATGTACTAAAAGAGAAGTAAGTATTTAGTAAACATACAAAAGTAGCTTCTCCACTGTGATCATGTTATTGTTTTTTTCTCCTGCAGCCAGCTTACTTGAACCTGAAACAAAGAGTGGACAACTTTGTGTCCAATCACCTTTCTAACCACACATGGAGCCCTCATTTGAACAAGAACCAGCTGAGAAACAACATCAGACAACTTGTGCTGCAGTAAGTGAGAAAGGAGAATTATACATGTTCCACCTTCTATTATTTAAATCAGCTTATGCTTATACTTTTCAGGAATGGCTATGTATTTTTTGCGTTATGTTGTTTTAAACTAGTTTTACTTACAAAATGAAACTGTTCCTCTTAGATCTGGGATGCTGGAGCAGGGGGTGGACAGGATTGTGGCCCAGACGGTGGATCCCAAAGTCAACCATATCTTCAGGCCGCAGGTGGAGAGGGTGGTTCGTCAGTTTCTGTTCCCTGGCAGCTGCTCGGAGGAGGAGCCGCCGCCACCACCGCCTTCAGCTGAGATCAAACCAGACAGCAGCATTCCTGAGCAAGGTACACCGCTTTTGATCCATCAGTCAACCATGATAAACAAAATGATGAATTTCTCACAAAAGTTAAGGTCTCCTATGATGCAAAATGCACTTTTTTATGTCTTTTATACATAAATATGTGTCCGGTGTGCCAGGGAACTCACAAAGTGTCAGAAAACAAAACCCTCTGTCTTTTCCTCCGTACCCATATCTCTAAAAACGGGGATACAACAGAGCTGATCCAGATTTGCTGCCGATATGTGGGCTTGCTTTAGGCCCGTGGCCCTATCAGAAACAATGTGCGACGTGTTTTGGAAGTAATATGATCTTTGTAGGGCTGTGCAATTAATCGTATTTTAATCGCAATTACGATTTTGGCCTGCCACAATTACGAAAACAACATAATCGAAAAAAAAAATTATTTTGCTTTGCTAGGTTGTGACATATTTGATCAAATTTAATTTTGGTCTCATTTATTTGTATTTATCATATTAATATATGTTTCGTAGCTTGTGGAAGTGCGCTCCAAAATATTTGTTGATCTTGTTTATTGGTATTTATTATTTTGATATTATTTATTTAAATTTATCATTTATTTAATTTATTTTTGTATTGGTTTTTCAGTTGAATTATACGTTCAGGGTAATCAACAGTTATAAAGATACTGTTCAAATTATTATTTGTATTTGTTTTAAAGTTCAATAAATGGAATTTTTCAAAGTCAATGAATAATCGTATTTAATAATCGTGATATCAATTATTGACCCAAATAATCGTGATTATGATTTTTGCCATAATCGCACAGCCCTAGATCTTTGTTTACATTAGCAAGCATCGCTAACACTCACTCTAACGCTGTACTGGAGAGAGTATGTGTAAAATGCCCCCCCATCTCTTTTTCTTGACAATTTTCTCAATTTTTTAAAGCTAGGACCCAGAATCAGCACTTCTCTAACAGGGCTGAAATAGAGGGTTATGAGGCATGGCTAGAATGGGTGATCAGTTTGGTATTTTGAGCAAAACACTTCATAGACATGTTTTTTATATATTTTTATATATCCGAGACCTAAAAATAGTATAATAGGAGACCTTTAAAATATAAAGGCTCACACTTGCATAGTTAAAATGCAACATTATATTTTTTACAGCCTCGTCATCTGCTCCAACTACCACGGCAGCCAGCGACGCCATGTCCATCCTGGACACCATAACCTCTCTAAACCATGAGGCCAGCGTGAGGGCGAGCACCGATAGAGGACGTAGAGATGAGCCCATGATGGGGGAGGAGGGCGAGCAGGACATGTGTATTGTTGAGGAAGGGGACAGCCACCATGAGGACGAGGAAGAGGAGCTGGCTTCAGAGGTTCAGGCTCTAGAGGTGAAGACAGAGGACACGCAGGAAGAGGTGGATCTGGGAAAAGAGGGGTTAATAGAGGAGGTGAAGATGGAAGAGGAGGAGTCAGGAACTCTTGAACAGACCGAAGAGGAGAAGGATAAAGCTGCAAGCCAAACAACTGGAAAACCCACGGAGGAGAAGCAGGATGAAGATCTTCTGAAATCCCCAAGTCAGGATAAGCAGAAAGCCAGAGAGAGGATTAAAGAAGGTGAGCTGTTGTACTCTCTGTATGTACTTCCTGTTTTACTGTGATTTAGTCAGCATGCATAATATATTCTTGATAAAACCACGTGTTAGCATTCAGGGTTTTTATATTCATTTTTCTTCTGGTAGATAAAAGATCAAGCAGAAATTATTAGTTGAGTAGTAGTCCAGCGACAGAAAACTAACTGCTGTCGTGAAAATATGAAGATTTTCTACATTTATCTAGTTTTATGTCATTGTACAATTAATATATTAGTTAATTGCATCATAGGGTGTATAATTTAAAGAGGACATTTTTATGAAACTGTGATGGGCATTTTCTGGATTTCCTAGTAGAGAGAATTCAAAGATTTTTTGCAGAACAATTCTATCATTGTCCTGATGTGTATGTGTTTAGTTCCGATAGTTCCTGGGATTTTGCGTTCACACCAAAAAGAGAACTTAGTTCATGAGAACTTTTGAAGCCAGTCCCCAACTCCAGGGACTTCCGGCCGGGGACTTCGGGTGGCAGTATATGCCGTGAAGTTGTTTGCGGCCTGCCAGTAAACCCAAAGCAGAAGAAGTGACGTCAGCGGCTTAATTTGCCTAATCTTCCCTCAGGGAATTTATTCCGGTGTGAACGCGATCTGTACTTAGTTCCATGGGGGCACTAAGTACGGCAAAGTACTTGGTGTGAAAGCAGCTAATGGGACTTTTTGTGGATATTTGATGAACTGCTGTTGTGTTGTTCCCTGAATGGCCATTTATATGAGTTATTACAGCAGATAACAAAAGGTCCAAGGCATATAAATATATGAAAACCTCAATGCTAACTTTTTGTCAGTAGGAATAGCTGTTTTTGCTGGATTTTAGTTTAAATATTGATGTATCTTTGCCCTGCAGAATACTTTTTGGAGGACTCGGACCTGGACGGGCTGAGTGACATCACAGTGAGCTCCGTCCACACCAGCGACCTGTCGTCATTCGAGGAACAAAGTGAAGACGACGGGCTGTCGGACTCTTCTGAGGAGGGGGAGCTTCCATCAGATGGTCTGAATTGTTTCATCCCTGTGTTAATTGTGGTCGCTACTACCAAGCATTTAGAATTGTCAACCCTGTCTCTATGTTAGAGTCTTATGTTTTTGTTTATCTTGCCTCAGATCAAGATGAGAACGTAGAGAAGAAGCCGACAGACGCAGAAGAAGTGGAGCGCAAACCTCGCCGCAAGGCCTACGTTCACAAGCCCTTCCTTTACTCCCGTTACTATAGCGACTCGGATGATGAAGTCACTGTGGAAGAACGAAGGAAATCTGTGGTGAGTTTGATTAATGTTGTCATTGAAGGCATGGTGTTAGCAGAACATCTTTGCTTTACTGCTTTTACAGTTAAATCAAAGGATTTACTTGGCAAATGAGTTGATCGTGAGCTTTAAAACAACGCAGAATTGTTTTAAATTGAGTTTTCTGTCATTTTTGTCCTTCAACCTTTCTCTCATAGGCAAAGGACAAAGAGGAAAGGCTGCTCAAGAGACAACAGAACAGAGAGCGAATGGAAGAGAGGCGTAAACAGAAAGCAGCACAGGCCGAAGAACAAGGTAGTTTTAATAAAATCTTGTTTTTATGTTCCTCCCAACTGTGAACTACCATTTATCAGGGTTTGTTTCCTCTACAGATCAAAATATGCAGAACCTCCCCAGAGCCAAAGAGGCTCGCAAGGAAAGGAAAGTTCTGGAGAAAAAAATGGCTCTCAACAGGAAGAGGAAGCTAGACTCAAGGTAGTTAACGCTGCTGATAATAAACAAAACAACCAAATATTAAAGTATACACAATATATAAATGCATTCAATGATTTCTCCCTTCAGGAAAGATGGAGATGTTTCAAGCAGAAAGAGAGGAGATACGGAAGGATCCAAGAAAGCGGTATGTGAAAGACTTCATGAATAAAACTGATTATCCAGGCCAGGGTGTCCGCGGGGTCTTAAAAAGTATTAAAAGTTGATAAATCAATTTAGCGAAAATTAAGGCTATTAAAAAGTATTAAACGGCATTTTCCAAGGTATTACATTTTGTAGCTTGTTTTCAATAAGTATATAAATTGTCCAAAGAGGTTGTATTCTACAGTTTGCCTGAATGTTATCATTGCGTAGGTGTGTAGTGTGATTCTGTGTAGTTTATTTATGGCATCCCGTTGGGTTTGACGTCATCTGAACAGGACATCGCACGCTCACTGCTTGATAGCGCGCGAAGGTCCGTTTACGCCGGTTGTTAAACAACATCGTTATGGGGAAATGCAAGTTTGCGTCCAAATGGTTGGAAGATAAGGAGGAAGGACAATCAATACTGTATATAGTGAATGTGAGGTAAAGTGTGTCGCCAATGTAACCGGTTAGAACTCGAAGTGGCGATGAGGTCTTAAAATGTATGGAAAGGGTCTTTAAAAAGGTCTTAAAAGGTTTTACATTTGACTTCAGGATTCCTGCATATACCCTGTTATATCATAGGGAGCAGGATTGCTGAGATGTAACGAGCATCCATTTTGTTTTGTTGTTTTAATATCAGGAATTGAGACCTACACATTTAAAGCCTCCACAACCGAAATTAATGAGAAATCTATCAGAATCGGCTTCGTCTGATGAGAGGAACAGAAGGATGAGCGGCAGCGTCTCAGAAGACTCCAGTGAACCCAAAAAGCTCTCAGAAAAAAGCCGGACACACTCCTTCATCCTGGAGCTGGAGCAAGGTTCCCAAGAGGCTCTCAAACCACGCACCAGTGGGAAATTTGATCGGTTGTCCCGTAAGGAACCTCACCCTAAAGAACGCAAAGACAAAGAACGCAGCTTGTCAGATGAACGTTTCAAACTCAAACAAAAGCAGGAGAAAAAATCAGAACAGCAGGCAGATGAATCTCAGCAGAAGGAAGCTGTTAAAGTGTCCTCTGAAGACAAAGGGGAGAAGAAGCCTAAGATTAAAAGTGAGAAGAAAATGGCCGGGACTACAAGAGAGGGGAAGTCGTCAGAAGGTGTGGCAGAGGAGGGTCCTAAAGATGCTGCGGTCAAGAAGGCAAGAGCTCCATCTATTGATACGGTTAAAACAGAGAAGGACAAAATAAGGGGTAAGGTCAAGGGAGAGAAAGCTTTAGCGAAAAGTGAATTCAAGCAGCTGCTCCGCCACGATTCTGCCGGCTCTTCTGAGGACCGGTCAGACATGGAGCCGGGGTCCGACAGCAGCAAGAGGAAAGATAAACCCTCAAAGGAAGTCCTGAAAAGGTCAAAGAGCCACACTGAGAACAGGCCAGGAGACAAACCCAAATCTAAAACTGAAGGTAAAGACAGCGAGAAGGAGAAGAGCAAAGCAGATCAAGACAGCCAGAGATCAATCAAGTCTGGCTCTGAGATGGACAAAGATTCAAAAAGAGTCAAGCCCACAGAAAAAGTTAGAACCGTGGATAAATCTAAATCTAAATCTAAAGAGGAAACAAAGACTCCATCGTTATCGAAGACGGATAATAAAGTTCAGAGTTCAGCAGCAAAACCTGAGGCGTCAAAGGAGAAGAGAAAAGAGGTAAAGGAACAGCCAAAGGTTTCAGAGGGGCTTCCCCAGGAGAAATCTGAAATCAAGACTGCGAAGAAAAAAACGGAGAAGAAAGACAAAGTCCCAGAAAAGACAGACGATAACGAGGAGGAGAAGAAAACCCCCAGAGAAGACAAATCGGACAAATCTTCAAAGTCTTCAGTGTCCTCACTCGACGCAGAGGAGCAGCCGAAGAAACCTTCCCTTCTGCAGGAAACCAGCACCGACTCGGACCCCGTCACCACCGTCACCACCCCTTACTCAGACGATACCTGCGACGCACTGAGCGACATCACCCCCGAGCCCCCCGAGGGCGACACAGAGTCCCGACTCAGCGAGATCCCCGCCCTGCCCGCCGAGGCCGACGCCCTGCTGGCTCTCATGGACGTCTGTGCTTCAGCCGAGGCCAGACTCCCCCCCGAGGAGCCGGAGACCCTCCTGCAGGACGCTGATCTGATGAAGGAGGCCGCTCTCACTCTGCTGTCCATGGATCCTAAAGGTGCCTCCAAAATCATTCCCCCAAATAAAGGGGAGGCACCAAAGGAAAGTCAGACGGCCCGACAACTGGAGGAAACCCCTGAAGCTGAACCAAAAGAGCAAACGGCTGCTGAAGCTGAGCCGTCTCCAGCTGCTGTTGTTGAGGAACCAAGCACTGCAGGTAAATACAGAACAGTGTGGGAAAAGGTGTGCATTATTCACTGCATAAACATATCGGGATGTTTCCTAATATGTCTCTCTTACAGATGTGTCTGAGAGTTCAGAGAAAGAAAAGGATGTGGCAAAGGACTCTCCTGCTCCACAGGTAAGAGCATTTTCCACATTGTTTGTCAAATTAAAGGTGGGGTAGGTAAGTTTGAGAAACCAGCTCGAGATACACTTTTTGTTATATTCCATGGAATGCTCTTAACATCCCGATAGCAATGAATATTTTAAGTGCTTTGACCAAAAATCCATAAAAAGATGTCATCTGTGGAAGCCGTAGTACTGTAAAAAGCACGACCAATCATTTTAGCCGGCCCGGCTAAAATAACTGGATGGCCTACCTGCCTGTCAGCCTTCCATCTGTGCACAAACTTATCTTGTGCCCTCATTGGTCATGTGTGCGTTCGTGTGTGTTGGAGGAGGGGCTCTGTAAGGAAGTGGCAGATTTTTTCCGGTTGTGTATTTTCAAATTCTAGCACACTCGAGCTGGTTTCTCAAACTTACCTACCCCACCTTTAAGTTGCCTTTTTTTGCTGTTTATGGATAAAAACAATCTTCCTTTGGTTTTCATTTAGTCCTTTTGGACTATTTTCAAATGACCTGGTACATTTCTACTAACTTCTATGATTTTTCAACGTATCATTTTATAAGGTGTTATTGTGCTTTGGAAAATCACAATTTTGCTTCTACACAGGATGATGAAACTACTTCAAATGAATGCCAATCTATTTCAAATATGGATGAAGCTAAAACTGCAGAAATCGCTCCTGAGAAACAGCTAGATGGAAACATGGCACCGGCAGCAGCATCAACTACCAACGAAGGTAAACGTTTTACTATAATGATTACCACTCAATTTGTCGTTTGGTAAAATACATTTTTGACTAGGCATCAACTGTGTTTCAGCCTGACGATGCTCAATAATTTAATTTTACTGTCTACAATATGTCAGGTGCTGATACTTTAGTGTCAGAAGAAGTTGGAGAAACCCCAGATGAAAGCACTACTGCAGTTGATACCACTGAACAAGTCTCAGAAGTATCCACTGAACAAGTCTCAGATATTCCCACTGAACAAGTCTCAGAAGTTTCCACTGAACAAGTCTCAGAAGTATCCACTGAACAAGTCTCAGATATTCCCACTGAACAAGTCTCAGAAGTTTCCACTGAACAAGTCTCAGAAGTTTCCACTGAACAAGTCTCAGAAGTGTCCACTGAACAAGTCTCAGAAGTGTCCACTGAACAAGTCTCAGAAGTTTCCACTGAACAAGTCTCAGAAGTTTCCACTGAACAAGTCTCAGAAGTTTCCACTGAACAAGTCTCAGAAGTGTCCACTGAACAAGTCTCAGAAGTTTCCACTGAACAAGTCTCAGAAGTTTCCACTGAACAAGGTGAGTGTTTGAAAACATTCTTGTAAAAAAGTAAAAGATGTGTTTTCTTAATCTGACTGTTAACTTTTCATGTTACCGTTATTTTAGAGCAAACTGAGGCAGAGGTTGTCGACACAAAGACGAGCCCGAAGGTGAGGTACCATTAACACATTTTAATTGTTTGCATTGTTTAATTGTAAACTAAACAAAACTCATGTATCTATTGTAAAACAGGCAGAGGAAGTGGGAGCTGATGACGACCAGGACAAGATGGATGTAGATCATAGTAAGAAGTTTTCTCATCTAACTTTGATTAACAACATATATAATACTGTGTAGGCAGTATCTTTAACACTGCTTCTTTTCACCACTAGGTGAAGCTGAGAGTAAGACAGTGGAGGAAGGAAACGTTGCCACAGAAAAGAGTGATCCACAAACTGTAAGTGTTCGCCTCCGTCACGCTCACTCTGTTCAGATGTAAACCACCTGTAACCTTTCCCCGTGCTCCGCTCTGCATCAGCCAAACGGCTCGCACTGCACTGAAACTGTACTTTGAACACTTAAATATATTATTAACATTTTAAACTGTATACCCCGGTTATCTAGGCCCTTTGTTCTGTTTAATGTATACCATGTTTATCTAGGCCCTTTTTGTTTTTTGTTTGATGTATATATGTCACACTGTAGGACTGCGGGAAACGATATTTCTGGATGTACAACATGTAGAATTCTTGACAATAAAGCTGACTTTGACTTTGACTGCGAGGGGGACCCAAGTTCCCATCAGCAAAAACACGTCGGTTTGCTATCCTGGCTCCAAAATGGTGGAATGAGGACAGAATCAGGACAGCAGAAAGCTTACACATCTTCCGGCGCAGACTAAAAACTCATCTCTTTCGACTCCACTTCGAGCCATAGAATTACTAACAAAGCACTTATATACTAACAAAGGACTGGCTTATCTAAAGCCTGTTGAGTAGCACTTGAAATGTTTTGGCTCTATGAAACCTGATGTACTTATATGACTTTTCTTCAAGTTTGTATCTTTTTGGTCGAATGCACTTATTGTAAGTCGCTTTGGATAAAAGCGTCAGCTAAATGCAAAGTAATGATATTATCTGATCCAAATCCTTTTGTTGATCTCTAAATGATATCCAGATGGAACACGATGCACCGCAGAAGACTGAGGAGATCAGAGAAAGTGGATCGGAGGGTCAGTCCGTACTGGTCAAACAAATCAGTGAGTCGTGTGACTTTTGTATCATACCATTTTTCCTCAACTGCTGCCTTTTAAAATAATATATTTACAGTTAGAAAAATCGGACTCCAGTGCATGGCTTTCGTGTGTCATCAACTCCTCTACTGTAGGTCAGCCATTTGTGTTTGTGTTTTCAGGTAATGTCTCCAGTACAGACAGCCAGGAAGATGAGAAGGGGTCAGATCTGTCAGAAAAGGTAATGCAACAGTTTGTGTACAATGTGGCTCTTACGGCCCGTCCACTTTGAATGGGGTGACGTCACGCTTTGCCGAACTGCATTGTGGTTCCGTCGCTTCGCGTTGCTCGACGGAAGCGTCAGCCAATCAAATCATATGCCAGTACAAGCTCTAGCCAATCAAATCGCGTGCTTGTGTGTCCGGGGCGGGAGATTCATGTGATTGGTTGTTGGTCGAGTTTCAGACACGCCCACCGGCAAGCTTCAACGCCTGCGCCGCGTGGACGCTGCGTTCCAGATTTAATAAATGTAGGTGTGGACGCAGTGTCCTAACCTCTTATTTTGTGTCGTAGGAAGAGAAGACGGAGGGACGAGGAAGACGTAAGCGAAAGCTGTCCACTCAGAAAGTTGCCGCAGTGAAGGAATCTGGTGAGATTTTCTTTCCTCGCCCGCTTTTCAAGATTCAAAGCCTATCATTTCACAAAGTCAAAGTTTCTGGCGAAGATTTGATATTTTCATTACACGTGAAAAACTAAACATTAGAGTTGCAATGATAAGTGGATCAATTGATAAGGACAAATGAATGTTATTTACAGCCCAACTAAATAGGAACCTTTTTAAATGTTATATCCAGTCAGTAAATAACATTTTGATTCGAAATGTATCTGCCTTTGGGATGAGTTTCATGTGTTCACTTGTTTTCTGTTCCTGATCAGGTGATGAGAGGGATGAAAATGAAAGTAAAGAACAACCGTCTGCTGAGGTACACACAGCCTTTTTCCTAAAACCACCATGTAATTATGAAATTGGTGCAATGTGTGTTTTTTGGGGGGTTTAAAACCTTTCTTGAATTGACTTCTGTATACGTTTATTTTGACTACGCACTGATTTGCTCATGGATTTTTTTTTTACCTTCAGGAAACGGACCAGGAGAAGGTTGTGGAGGTCAGGACGCCTCGCAGGGGTCGATCATCCAAAACCAGCGAGGAGGCCGAGAAGGAGCAACCTAAAGAACCTGAGAAACCAGAGGAGACCCCGAGCCGCGGGAGGAGGCGCTCAGGAGCGGCTGCCAAGGAACCCTCCTCTGCTGGTAAGATTTTAAATGAGCAAACACAATTGTTGTTAACGTCTGATCTAGGATTTCACTTTAAAGAGTACTGTTCTCCCTAGTCATTGAGCAATATCAGTCCATTGATATAATGCACTAGCCAACATATTCAAGTTGAGTCAAGATATCAGGATCTGGAAAATATAATTGAATGTTTTAAAAAATGTATTCCTGAGGAACACTGTTGCACAATATTGATTAAAAGAAGCGCCACCACTTTACAATAAGACTACCCTTATAAAGGGTTTATAATTAGGTTATTAATTAGGTTCTAAACACTTTATTAATCATTAAGAACCATTTATAAACCAGTTCTAGCATACATCAACACAGGCTCTCTATTTGGCAAGATGACTTGGGCCCTAGCCACACGAGAACGGTAACGGTCGTATCTGCTACAGTTCTCTATCATATAGACGGTTCGGCCACTCGAAGCCGACATGGAAACGCATAAAACGATAACGATAACGGGTCCCAAGGTGGGTAGATCTGCGAACGAAACGCTCTGGGGGGGCAAACGGCTCCGTGTTTACGCCTATATGATCATTTTCTGGTTGAAGCAATAGCCCCGCCTCTCCCCACCTCTCCTGCTCAGAGATCAGCTGCTGGGCTGTCAGAAGAGGGGGAGGAAAAGAGAGGCTCCGTTTTTTATTCTTATATTATTATATAGAGTCGTTATTCATTTGTTTTAAAGCTCAATAAATAACAAAGAAGACCTCTGACCGGCACTTTTCTAATTTTGTCCGGAAGATTTCAACTTTAACGGACATGTTGACCGGCAAAAAAAAATTTGAACGAAAACTCTGCCGCACGGTTCCCTCGTCCCTTGGAAGAGGCGTAGAGGTGGGTGTTTGTCATCTGCTGGTGGACTAACCGGAGAGATTTACAGCAGGAGCAAAGGCTTGCCTCGGGGAGGGAGAAAAAGAGCCAGAGCGTCCACAGCGGAGAATAAACAGAAGGGCAACCATGGCAACCATGCGCGGGAAGTCTTCTTCGCTGCTTTTGTGGCAGGAGTACAGTGCCACTTACAGGCCCGGCATATGTACTACAGCGTCTCCACCGCTTTCGAGCGGTCTCGAAAGCGGTCCTCGTGTGGCTCCAGCCTAAGCCTTATATTGGCTACTTACTTTGTCTTCTTCATCAGCCTTCCTATCTGTTGTTCACTGAGTTGATTCCCCCATCCATCTTGATGTTTCTTGGCATCTCTTTATTACCATTTATTTACGAGTTACTAACATTTATAGTTACCAAAAGGGAGCCTTATTGTAAAGTGTGAAACAAATCACCATTTATTAATGAGTTACTACCATTTATAATGAGGCTTGGCAGTACAGATAAATGTGGGCTCACTATTTGGCAGGTCACAGTTGCCCTGTTTATCTCATTTCTTATAAAAGCTTATTAATGATTTATAAAGTGTTCACAACCTAATTCATCGTAAACCCTTTATAAGGGTAGGCTTATTGTAAAGTGGTACCAAAGAAGCTATAATAAAAAGACTATAAAGGGTTCAGCTGTATGTCCCTCTCTAAGCTAGTGTAGCTAAAAAGTGTTCAAAATATTGATTCATTTGAGTTTTCTTTTGTGTTCTTTTTCCAACCTCAGATAATCAGAAGAAGGAGGAGAACAAAGACGACAAGAGCACCGAGACAGAAGAGGTATGTTAACAGAAATGCAACATGTACATTGATAATAATAATAATAATAATAATAATAATAATGATGAACTTCATCTTTAAAGCCACTTTCAAAACTAAGTTACAAAGTGCTTTACAAGACAAACATCAGAATCAGAATACCTTTATTCGTCCCACGGGGGGGAAATGTGCGTAGTTACAGCAGGAAAAAGAGCCACAGACAGCTTAATGTTACATATGTTAAATGCATTTAAAAAAGTTATGATATAATGAAAATTATAATAAAAAATAAAAAGTTACATAATTTAAAAAAATACACATCCTGTAACAGTTCTTAGGATTTAGCAGCCAGGTATATATTACACAGTTATTAATGACATCTAGCACATATTGCACATAGGTGGTTGGTATTTAACAGCAGCAAGTTACACAATTTACAAAATACAAAATACACACCTTGTAACAGTTCTAAGGATTTAGCAGCCAGGTATATATTACACAGTTATTAACGGCATTTATATATTGCACATATAGCACATAGTTTGTTGGTATTTAGCAGCAAGGGGTGATATAGTCTGTGTTGTGGTGTGTGTGGGGGGTCAACTAGGGGCTGTGCTGGTTGTATAGTCTGACCGCTGCAGGAAGGACCACTGGTAGACAGACAATTAATTTTTGTACACAGTCTAAAACATTGAACAAAAGGATCTGCAATTAGGGAAAAGTACAATTCCACAATATAAATTGATCAATAAAATAAAAGTCAAGAGAATGCCTCTGTATATACATGGGTTAAAATAAGGCAACAAAACCTGATGTTAGAAAAATCTACTTTTTAGATACACTTTTTAAATTTCTGATGAGTGAGCCCACCAACAAAATAAGCAATATTTCACTATCTTAATTTCCATCGTGTTTTTCACAATATCTTTTCAAATCTGCAGGCAACAGAAGAAGAAAGTGGACCGAGGAAATTAACACGGCGAGGAAGTCAAGTCGCTCTGCCGTCGACTGTTCCAGAAGAATCTGCCGCTGCAGGAAGCTCCGACTCCAAAGACGCCACTGACACACGTACGTTCAAGTATTTTTTTGTGTTTTGTTGTCCCTTTTCTTTAAATGACTGACACCACTGTGCCTGCTATGAATGGTGAATGACTTTATGGCGAGGTGTGGCTACATGCAAGCTAAAAGAATAAGTGAGCCAAACCTCAACAGCTAACTGGAACATTTCATAGCATGATGTTGAGAGTAAACCACGTTTCATTTTGCTGTCATCACCGCTAAAAGCCTGTCAAATAGTATGATTGAGTATGTTGGCATTGGTAGTAGACGTGGGGGAAGGCTGGCTGCGTTGCTATGAGTTAAACAAAACAAAATATTTTCAGGGTGTTCCCTGTATGTGAGAGAGATGATAGGATAAATATTTTCATCATGTTTCCATCCCAGGTAAACCAGCGGTGAAGAGGAAGAGGTCCGAGGATACGGAGGAATCTGTGGAGGTGAGTTTTGACGTATTTGTGGATTAAAACCTTCGCTGTCTCCTGGTCTGCAATTCCTCCATCTAATTCTGTATTTACTTAAAGGTGGGGTAGGTAATTCACTTCAGAAACACTTTTTGTTATATTCCATGGAATACTCTTAACATCCCGATAGCAATGAATACATGAAATGCTTTGACAATAAATACATTAAAAAATGTCATCTGTGGAAGCCGTGGCGCTGTAAAAAGCACGACCAATCATCTGAGCCCGGCTAAAATAACTGGATGGCCTACCTGCCTGTCAGCCTTCCATCTCGTGCACAAACTTATCTCGTGCCCTCATTGGTCATGTGAGTGTTCGTGTGTGTTGGAGGAGGGGCTCTGTAGGGAAGTCTGAAGGAAGGGGCAGATTTTTTTCGGCTGCGTACTTTCAAATTCTAGCGCACTCGAGCTGGTTTCTCCATTCTTTACTACCCTACCTTTAAGTTTTGATGTGTCTAAATGTGTATTTGAATTATCCTTTGACAGGAAACTCAGGCTGAAGAGGAGGAGAAGAACGACTCCAGTCAACAGGAACCATGTGAACAACCTGAAGAAGACAGTGGTGAGAAAGCACGCACATCCAAAATAAATCATTACTCTGTCATTTCAGCAAAGGTCCTTGCATACTGTATCTAAAAAAAACACAAGGCCTGGATTAGGGCTGCTCAATTAATCGTATTTTAATCGCAATTACGATTTTGGCTTTCAACGATTATGAAAACAACATAATCGAAATAAAACGATTTTTATTTTTTAATTATTTTTTTTTATTGGTTTTTCAGTTTAATTATACTTAAAGTTCAGGGTAACCAACTGTTAAAAACATACTGTTCACATTTTTTTTTTCAATAATTGGATGTTTTCAAAGTAAATAGATAATCGTTTTTAATAATCGTGATATCAATTATTGACCCAAATAATCGAGATTATGATTTTTGCCATAATCGAGCAGCCCTAGCCTGGATACTTATTTCGTTTTTATTAAACTGAATATGAATGTCCTTTTGTACAGTGTTTTCTTTGCACTTCATGTTGAATTGCCTTGTTGCTTAAATGTGCGTTAAAAAAAAAAATAGCCCTCCTTTTAGAATGAAAATAAGTTACTTTGATCATTAAAGTTGTTGTTTTGTACAATTATCTTCTTCCAGTGTTGTCCCCTGCAGCGAGCCAGGCAGAGAGTGAAGAGGAGATCTGCAGCGAGAAGAAACCAGACGATGTATGTTGTCCGCTCAGGCCTTTAAATATTCATCTGTATGTTGTTAACACTGTATGTGCATCATTCACTGTCGCCGAACTTGTCTGTGTAAGAACTTAAAAAGCGTTGAACTGCTTACCTGTTGGCTCTGCACTGCTCATAACTCATTCCCCCAATCTTTCTCAAACTCTGATCAGACGTCAGGACTTTAATATTTTTTTCTCCAGGCTGAACAGGAGGACCAGGAGGCGACTCCAAAGAGAACAGGTCGGAGGGGACGGCCGTCAAAGTCAGCGGCAGCCCCCGAGGATCCAGGTGAGGAGATTAAAAGCTTTATCAAACAAAAACAAAGTCAAATTGTTGTTATTAATACTTATTATCATTGTAAGCTTTACACTAGCAAGTACATAGGTGAAAGAGAACTGTTTATTGTCTTAATGTTATGGATGAGCACCTACGAGTCGTTGTTGACTTGGCAATAAAATACACAATTTAGAATCTATTGTCATGCTAACCCACAGATAAAAAGGAAGGAAAGGCAGACGAGAGCGAGCAGAATGATGATGAGGAGGAGGAGGACGACGATGACGGTGATAAAGAAGACGGAGACAAAAGAAACGCAAGGAGAGCAACGACACGATCTGCAGCTCGCCTGGAGGCCGAGAAGTAATTGAACACAAATGCATCACTAACAGGGTGTCCGCGGGGTCTTAACAAGTATTACAAGTTGACAAATCAATTTAGTGAAAATTAATGCTATTAAAAAGTATTAAAAGTCATTTTCCAAGGTATTACATTTGGTAGCTTGTTTTCAATAAGTATATAAATTGTCCAAAGAGGTTGTATTCTAAAGTTTGCCTGAATGTAATCATTGCGTAGGTGTGTAGTGTGATTCTGTGTAGTTTATTTATGGCATCCCGTTGGATTTGACGTCATCTGAACAGGACATCGCACGCTCACTGCTTGATAGCGCGCGAAGGTCCGTTTACGCCGGTTGTTAAACAACATCGTTATGGGGAAATGCAAGTCTGCGTCCAAATGGTTGGAAGATAAGGAGGAAGGACAATCAATACTGTATATAGTGAATGTGAGGTAAAGTGTGTCGCCAATGTAACCAGTTAAAACTCGAAGTGGCGATGAGGTCTTAAAATGTATGGAAAGGGTCTTAAAAAAGGTCTTACATTTGACTTCAGGATTCCTGCATATACCCTGATTAAAAATGTAACACGTAATTCAAACTGTACTGTAACATCATTATTCGGTAATTGCAGTAAAAGCAAGTCATTAGAATTGAATGAGACCAATTAACTCTTTTAAAAATCGCTCGTCACAAAACACATGCTGTTAAATCCAGACAATAATCCATCTTTGATATTGTGCAGTCGCAGTGATGAGACTCTCTGTGGAGATGAAAGGGTTGTTTTAGTGCTGAATGTTTACTCTCTGAAACACCCAGCAGGCATCATCACTGTCACATCCTGTTCAATTAAAGCGTGAGGAGGGGGAGATGTAGCACTATGTTTCATATTTGTTTTTATTGCTCCTCAGGAACAAGCCGAGTAAACCCTCCACCCGGGCGAACCGACAGAACGGCCAAGAGGAGAGCGCAGCTGGCACACGGTGAGTCCCTCTGAGGGATCCGACCAAAACTGAGCGCTATGAGGTCGCCGCTCTGAGAAAGACAACATTAGAGCTAAAGCTTTCCCGGAAATTCTAAATAGCTTTTAAGTTAATACCTCCCCAAATAAGACATACTTTTGAATGGCCTCTGTTGTATATCAAACATTGGGCATTGCACGTCAGCTATAGGATCAAAAGAACTTGTAACATTTTTAATAATTTTATAATATAAACAGTATTTCTTTCTTTATTTATCCAGTATTTCAGGTGAGAGGCTTGTGTACTTAAAAGGCTTTTTTAATAAATGTAAGTCATGTTAAGTGATAGAAACCTTGGTCACTCAATAAGTAGTCTCACTTTTTCCATTTGACTTTTTAAACACTGAATTATAGACTGATCATTGTGTACAGAACAGGGTAACTACTACAATATGAGACTATAATACACACAATGCCTAATTCCCTAACCCTCTCACCTAAACATTTTATCTAAGTTTTACAAAAGAAATATCCCTGTTTCTTCAACAAAGATACACTATCAGTTGCTTTATATATAAGGTAAGAAATTAGATGATTAATTCACATTACTACAGTATTATTTTTTTTTTAAATTACATCCCTGAGAACATCTTTCTTCCAATTCCACCCATTGTTTTTTTCCAAGAAGATTTAGAAATGTTCTTCTGTCTTTGATCTCAGACTAAATTAAAGTCTAAATGGGTGTTTTAGTAATCTGTCTCATGCACATTTTCTCTATTTAAGTAAATGTGGACCCACCAAGTCCGGCCCCGTCTAGAGTTGTTCGTGAAAAGAGTTGCAATAACAAGTATTCCTTCACTGCAAACAAGTGCACTGAGACACATCTCCCAGGGCCTAAATATGAGTCTTTAGACAAACGGCCTGACACTTGTTCCTTGTTTCCCTCCTGCAGCGGGACGAGGGGCCAGGCAGCAGCAGCAGCAGCAGCAGTGAAGGGGGGCCGCAAACGGGAGGCCAGCCCCCCTGCTGTGCGGACGCGGGGAGGACAGAAATCAGAGGAGCCCCCGTCCAAGAGAGCCAAGCGCTAAAACCTCAGACTTTCTGTTTGCCCCGGCGGTGTTTTCTCTGCACTCCATATTATTAAAGTCCGTTCTGTTGCAGGGGGGGTCAGAGGGTCTCTGCAGTCAGTTAGCATGTCGAGACGTTTCTGCTTCACTGACTGCAGATATTGAAAAGCTCTGGATAGTATTAATCTGATGGTTGTGTGTAAACCTGAGGATCTGTGCGGGAATCCCCCCAGAATACCTTCTACCGCACTACGCCCATATGGTTTGCATCAGACTTCATCATCCCACCGTTTATTCAGTAATGCCCAGCGAGTCAGAGTGTTCCAGCCCAATCTAAGGCCTAACAGCAGCCCAGTCGTACTTTCAGGTAAAGAGGCTGAATTAAAATCTCCGTTCCTGCTGGGACTGTGTGTAAATTCAAACACTTGTACATAGAAATCATTGTGAAGCGTCTTAGCATTCATTGGGAGTTTTTCAATATTCATTCTGTGAATGAAAGGAGGTTTTCCCTCCCAGTCTTTTTTAAGTTTGTTTTTTTATACTTTTCACACGGTAAGGGACGCGTATTAGTTTGTTTTTTTAAATAACGGCAGTATTAGCATCAGACAGGAACAACCTCGTGACTTTATGAACTGAATCTACTTCATGACACAAGTGTAACAAAGAACAGTTTGTTGGTGTCAAACTCATGTGATCTAGTTATGTGTATTGTTTGAACTGTATATCAATATAATGGTGTTAGATATGTTGCCTACCTGTCATTTTTTTATAAATGTAAAAATACCTAATATTGCTTCCCTTCCTTTTTTCACGGTTTCAAGCTCTCTACATGTGGTAAGTAATTATAAATATACATACCTATTTTAAAATAAGGTATCACTTTTTCCTTTTACACTTCTGTGGTTAATTCATGAATGTGGTGATTAAAACATGTTTATTTCTGGAATATGCTTAAATTACAGAGCTCATAGATTTCCACTTTTCCAAAACAACCTCTACAGTAAACCCTAAACTGCGTTGCTTCTGTTTCTCAAAGATTAGCGTCTGACAATCTAAAGCATTTGTTTATGAAAAGATAAAACATTGCACATTTTTGATTTATACACCCTTGTTATGTCTCGAGCGTTATCGCCTGTGTTTCCTAAATGGATGTGCTGTCTGTAAATGTGTAAATAGCCGAAGACAGGAACCAATCGCCTCTTAGCGGAGAAGAGGAGAGGACATTCCTGCCTGCTAATGGGGGATAAAACTGACAAACTCAGGATGAAATATTCCACCATCATTAACACGTTAGGAGGCTTTAATCGCACCTGAACTTACGGGATCCAGAAAGCCCGGAGAGATGTTACGGAAAGAGACTTCTCGGGGTAAAGTTTTCCAACCATTCCTGTGGATTTGCTAAATCTGATTCCTGAAAGGTGTACCTCTCCCAGGTATTTCCTGGTGCTGCAATCCAAGCCTTAAAATATTAACTCTCGTTTCATTTAGCCACCAGGCCTGGCACACAAACAGCGCTCCTTTCACTCACCGATGCCAATTGGAGCCACTTAAGACGTCATTTTATTATATGTCGTTTGCATTGTAGTCCAAAATGATTTTCTGCATTTGCCAAGCAGGTTTCTAGTGCTGAGTATCAGCAGTTTGAGGCACATTAGAGCGATTTATTGGCAGCATGTTTTATGTATGAGGTTTCAGCTCAGCGGGGACCTCACAGCAAGAATCTAGAGAGTTAGAGAAAGCAGCAACACAAGTTAATATCCAACATATATCTGTAAAACTGCTGCTGAAGCACAAATCTGGACACATGCTGACCTGATTTGTAGGTGCTTTGAATGTACTTTACCTACACATTCTGTAGAGAAAGAAGTGGCGGCTCTCAATCACAAACAATAACACATGTTTCAACTTATTTGTCTATCTACCCTTTATCATTAGGTTGCTCCTAGTCTCCTTATACACAGTCCATCAGTCAATAATGTAATCTATAGATTAACTAGATAACATTCAGCTAAAGTTTCCATTCAAAACAATATTAACTCAGATTTAACAGAAAAATCTACAATAGAAATGTATTTATCAAATAATACAACAGATCTCACAAGACCTTAATTAAAGAAAATTAATTGAACAATCAGTCAACTATTTTTGTTACTTTTTGTGAATTGATTTTAAGTGAAAATGATAAGCATTTCCTGTTAGCTAGTTTCTTGAGGATTTGCTCATTTGCTCTCGTGATACCTTTTCCCATCTTATTTGCATTTCATTGACACCTAAACAAATGAGGGAAAACTCAACAAATGAATTGATAATGCAAATGTTCATTGGTTGCAGCCATTCATATCGGGATCAACTTTTCACAGCACTCCAGCAAAGATGTGTTTTTATGCCAATGCTCTGAGCATTATCTAATTTTTTCGCATTTGTTGCAGCTAAGGTGGGGTTAATACTTTTTATAATGATGGTAGCTTTATCTATCATAACATTTAATCATTTATGAATTCTATTTTCTATGAATAATCTGATACATTTAGGGGAGTTAAAAGTACGATATCTGCCTCGAAACTGTAGTGGAGTAGAAGTATGAAGTATTATGTGTAAGTAAAGTTCAAGTACCTGAAAATGACAGTACAGTTAGGGGCTCTTCATGATGGTAAGTACAGGTCATGTGTATTCTGGCACCGGCCTCACTTCAGCATCTAAAATGTGAAAGAGAAAGTGAGTTTGATACAGGACACCAACAACATAAGCCCCCTCACATCCCCTCACTCTGCCTCTGAAGCAGGTCTGCTGCCGGGCCGCTGCAGAGAGCCGGAGAGACGGTGGTTTCACGCAGCTGTCAACTGGAATAGAGGTAACTGTTGCTGGGAACCTCGCAGGATCCTGCCTCTCTGCACGGGGAGGGGTCTTTCCTCTACTGGGGATTTGGCCAGCGCTGAACATAATGCTCCCCCATTCAGCCACTCCTCTCACAAGACATAAAAGTTAACAGGTGTTTAACGTCAGAAGTGTTTCATATGAGAGTCAGAGAAATAGCCAGCGACAGGCGGCAGGGAGGGGTGGTGGTTTAGGGTCTTAAAGGTTTTTTTTACTCCATTTTTTTTTTTGCAGTATTGAAATATTGCTGCAGTTGAGCCGAGATTATGATCGACTGCTGGCATCTGAGAGGCTGGAACAAACACACCAGAGTGCAGGATTATTTCTGATATGTGTGTTTACTTACCAACATTTGTGGGTCAAATTGAGTCATTAGAGTATACCAGCAGTGTGTGAAGTTTATAAACTCCAATTTATTTTGGAGTAGAAGTGGCAAATATTATACCTTTTTATTCACTGTATACTGTGTTACTTTGCACATTCAGATTATATCAGAATATAAATCAAGACATTTGGATTTTGTATAGGTTAAGCTAGCAGTTTATAAAAAGGTTAAGGTGAGCTGCACATACATTTAAATTAAATTGATGATGAGCAACCTAATTCATATAAAATTATAATCCAATAATATCATTTAAATTAATTTAGAGGGGCTCATTCTGCATAATGAGTTTACTACTTTTGGTGCTTTGCAAGTATAGGCCTATATGATGCAAATATCCTTGTGCTTTTACTTTAGTTAGATTTGAATGCTGGACTTCTACTTGTAGCAGAGTATTTCCTGCACAACGGTGTTGTTACTTTACTGCTAACAAATCTGAATACCTCTCCAACTGCACCTGTCAGAGAGGTAAATCTGTTTTCTGAAAATATCCAAAACGCAGCTGCAGTCAGTCACTTAAAGAAAAAGGGCCCATCATATCTCAAGAATTTCTAAATGATGCTTGACGTTTTCATCAACTCTCATGTTGAAAAGTGGTATTTTACATGTGATATTAGAACCCCTGAAAGGGCTTTGCTGCTTTGAAAGACGTCTTTATGAAGGCATGAGTGCAGGAGAAAGGGAGCCGGTCACAGAGACCTGAGCCGCAGCCAAACCCTCTTCAGGAGCTCAGAAGCCTTTCATGATGTGCTTGAGCTGCACGCATTATCTGTTGCGTGCCAGAGGCGGCTGGAAGCTCGTTTGTCAGCACAGCAGAGCTGAAAAATAAACTATAAATCACGTCTGCACTATCTACACACATTAATTGGAGTGTAACAGCGGGCTTTCCCCCCCACTTCTGTGTCTGCAGTAATGCAACCATTGCTGGGATGTTTTGAATAGCTTCCAAGAGACGCAGGAACTTCTCCCTGCTTGTCTCTTGCTTCCATTTACTGTATTAAGTGTTCTGTCCCAAGGGCTCTTCCATTTAGTGCTCCATCGCATGCAAGGATAATTTTTCTTTGGGGAAGAGGGTTCAATTGTAATTTAGGGTCTAAAAGCATACTTCAAGCTGGCAGCAACCCCCCCGTCCCTTCCCTTTCCTTCCACTTTCCAATGTTGAGGTTGATTAAGGCTGCTATCAGGGTGGATCTGATATTTGGTGAGAAATCTAGAGGGCATTTTGGGAGCGTTTACTGCAAATGACTCTTGGCAGTGCCCTCTTATGTATTGCTCCATCTGAACACAATTTGGAAGCTATTCTCACATAAGGAGCAGGGGGGGGGGGGTTAGTAGCCTATGGCGTGCTGTGAGCCTCCTTTTTCATACCAGCACGCAAGAAAAAAATGCAAGACCTGTCATAAACACACCCAGGAGAGAGGAGGGGAAACAGAGACGTTACCAAGGCAACTGGCGTGTTGCTGCATCAGGCGTGATTTCAGTCTGAAACACCAGGTTAAAGTTACAGGAAGAGGCAGGAAAATGGCTGGTGGGTGGAGGGGCAAACGTAATAGTGTAATATGCCATTAAAGTTGATTTCCTTACTGGAAAGGTGGTGGGAATTTCACCCCGGTGTAAAACTGGAGGGGAGCAGACAAAAAGTCTGGGGATATTAAGAGGATCGTGTCATGTAGATAAAAAAAAGCTGAGAAAATGTACCTTTTCCCGGCAAGGCGATTATAGTGATCATCTCATCTTTCCATGACAGCAGGTCAGCTTCCCACCAGCAGAGGGAGACCTCCTGTACAAAAACAGAGACAAGGCTTAATGATGACTGTTGGCACACAAAGGGGGGTTTATACAAAGTGTATTTTTCATGTTCATATTTTTGTTCACACAAATCCATCTGATACAACTAATCAAATAGTCCCAATGATGATCATGATTGAGGTGATTTATGAAGCAGAAATACTCAAACATTCACAGGTTACAGCTTTTCCATTTTCAGGTTTGGCTGCTTTTCACATTTTTTTGTGTTTTTGAAAATGTTTTACATTTGAAGACCCCAACATATGATGATGTATTGGTCTTTCTTTCTTCTATATTTGATCAATTAAAAAAACTAAACAGGAATTTATGACAAAAGTAATTGACAGATAAATCAATAATGGAAATATAAGTTGCAGCCCATACATGTATTTGTCTGATGTAATGTATTATATATTTTATTGCAAATGTACAGCCTATTGTCGGTTGAAATAATGCTTACATTTTACTAAACTACTTGTACTGCTGTTATCTCTACTTCTACTAATAAAGTATGAATAATTATTATAGTAACGATGCAACAGCTTATGTTAAAACACTTCAATTAATACAAAGCTGCAGCATTAGTGGAATAAGTCTGTACTTTTAGTTTTGAGTTTCTATTTCTTGACTTTTATTACTTTTTAAATATTCCATGATATGCTACTTTACCTCTGCACTACATCTTTTGATACCTAGAGAAACTGGTTACATGAGATCAGTATAAAATCTAAGGATCATTAAAGATTCAACTTAAACTTAAAATTAGCTTCACCTTGACCAATTTAAACATTAAAATGGTGCTTATAAATAACTGTAAGAGCTCCTACATTTGCATAATTCGTGCATTTTTGATACTATAAGTACCTTTTCTTGCTAATACTTAATCATTTTGTTGCTATAAGTGCTATTTTGATAAACTGTACTAAAAGAAAGCTGTATTTTGTAGCTACTTTTACAGATATTAGACTTGAATTGGCTTCATTACTGTCATCCCCTAAGAAATGAGCACCTGTCAACCTAAGGTAAAACTATGTTTGTTACATTTCTATTTCATTTTCTTCAATATTCCTTGTTTTAATGAAATAATAAGGTCTCAGGAAATAGCCGTAGTTTCCTATGCTTCTGAATTTTTTTCAAGTAAGTGATTACATGTCACTCTCTGATATGAACACCTTCACTGCACTGTGATTGTGAATCCCATCACACCCGCAGTGTACCTGTTGTAAATGCCCCTGCAGTTGTCTGAATGAAAAGCAAGCTGCTGTTTACATTTCCTGCCACTTACAGCTACTTACTGCTTATTACTCTTCCTCCCAGTGTGGTTACCAAAACACAGAGTAACCCGTGGAGCTCTGCTCGACTTCACATTGATGGGCACACATAGACTCACTTTGTTGGGGAATTGGCAGACGGTTGTATTTATTTTCCATATTTTCTTAAAGTAAAGCCCACTGTGTACGGGTCAGTGAGGCTGGTGTTAGGACAAAAGAATGAAAAACTGCATGAAGGGCGCAGAGAAAACAACTTGAACAATACGAGATAATTTTAAAACTATGTCATGTACCACTTGTGTATTGGCCTTGGGTGGAATGAGTAGTTTTTAAAAGGCAGGGTGTGTGAAAATATCCAGATGGTGTCAGTGGTTTGTGCTTTTCCCTTTTCCCAGTCTTGTTTTCTTTGCTTGCGGTGATTCAGGCCGTCACTCAGCTCTGAGACAATGCCAAATCATTTAATTCAATTCATTCTCAGAGCACATCTCTTTGCAGTAGTAGATTGTTTAAACACGTCTTTACATTTTATACTAATCTGCATAGATTCTGAAGTTCTGTGTGTTTTGACCTCAAAGGTACAAGATGTCAAAAAGTCAAGCTGCAGAGGTATTTCCAGTGGCCACTAGATGGTATAATGTATGCATGCAACGAGTTTGAACAAGGTGAGCAGCACAGAGGTCGGATTAATTGAATGACTATTAAAACGTGTAGCCATTTTTTATTCATTTTTCTTATAATGCACATAATATTAAGGACAATAAAGATATTAATTAGTGTATTATTTTATATAGCACGATTTCTTTGGAGTGTAAATATTACGAATCAGGTAACATGAGGAAGATAAATGATTCCATTATTTATTTTTACGTGTTCTTATTTTAACAAGTGTTAATGTAATCCGCCTTTACACGGTCTTTAACCAGCAATCATCACATGAATCATTCCTAAGGGGACATATTGGATAATGACACATATTTAGACATTTAAAACAAGTTAAAAATCAGATTAATTTGTCTCAGCTGTTACGCAATTTGTTTTCATTCGCAATCGTTTCGTGTGCCAAAAAACGACTCAAAAGGCGTTTGCATTTTACAATAGGCAAAAACAACAAAATACAATAAAAAAAATCCGTTTTGTTGTTTTCAGCAGCTGATCTGCTGACAGCATCATTTTTGACACTGAGAGGATATTGTTCTCGATTTGAACATGTTTTCTATACTTCCTAGTTAAAATGTTTTTAGCAGCGAGCAAGATAACCTTAATGAGATTATTATTGTAATTATGACTTTTATATTTATAATGAGGTTTATGATACAATTCTTAAATTATGTTTTATTTAGTCCTTCGTTTTATTAAACAATACTTTTATCGGTGCAGCACCGAGGTCATCAGCCCACTTTCATTCATTAGCCTACAGACCGCGTGATTCACTTCATGCTTATGTTGTAGCCCATTACATCTTCTTCAACAGTAAACAAATGTAACAAGTTCACAGAAACAATTCATTATAAGGAATTAAAATCATGAAAGTTTGTAGCTTTCAAGATGAAAAAGCCTCAAAGCATCTTCATTGATATATATACGGGTTAAGATAGAAGCCATCAATACATTAAATGATAGACGCCCTATATCAACTTATAACATTACCCCATAGTGCGTTTAGCCGAGTCGAATCTTTTATTAAATATTATTAACAAAATATATTCTGAAGAAGTATTTACATTGTTGATGGTTGGTGACTGAGAACAGTAGAAAAGCTGTGAGATCTGTTCTGTAGACTGACGACGTAAAAAAACTGCAGAGGTCACGATCCGGATCCGCAGAGACAGATGTTGGTGCACTTAAAACCCGAGGACCGAGCTGTTTCCACTCTTTATATTTAATCAAAAGTAAAAATATTTAATAAAAATCATCTTCGGCAATTCGGCCGTTTAAAGATATAACAGGGGATTAGTTAAGTTAAAGCAAACAATTATTACGCTGCGTAATATGGGATCTTCAAAGTTATTATGCTACATATCAACGTCTTTATAGAGTCAAATATTCTGATTGTAGGATACATAATTTCAGTTATTTCAGATGTGTCAAGATTTCATGTGTCTACAAATATGAATCTGTGCTGCTGCAAAAGCTGGCTGGTGCTGAAAACGAATATTTAGCCTAAATTAAATTATTACATTTGTATAAGACGTTAAATACAAGCGTACACAGAAGTTACTCGTTTTTGTTTTTGTGGAAATGTAATATTTATATTCAGCAAAAAAGATGATCCGCGCACAGGCTGAGGCCTACCTGGTCATGGCGATCCATGATGCAGGCTGTCAAGGAAGTGACAACAATTAGCACTTCGATAACTTTAAATGTTTAATACAAACGTAGCAAGAGGAAATCGGTAACAACCTGAAACAAATTGATCAGTGCCCAAAATGTTCCAACAAAAAATCCCATTACGCACCGGCATCGGCAGACCCGTAGGATGATGAGGGGTTGAGTAAAAAAAAAAGGAAAAAGATGACATGTCCTACGATTTATTGTCCTCATGCTGCATTCAAGTGTTGCACGGAAATGGAATACACGACTTTCCTGGTTTATTTTTGAACTTGTGTTGCTGCTAATTTTCAGCTTCTTGATCGCGGACTTTTACGCACGGAGGCTTTGCTTTTCTGACTGCGTAAACGTTGAATATTACCAACCCAGAAAATGCTGCACTTTGGCAAAAACAAATCATAAATCATTGATCAAATTCAACAAAACAGTTAATTATATAAGCCATGTAGAAACACAGTAAGCTCTCAAGTTTTGGAAACACTTTCAGGTGAAATACTTCGTGTCAGTTCAGCCTCCAACATTTTCTTTAACTTTTTCCCACCCGGTTGAAAGCAGCATGACGTAGTTTACAGTGGCCAATCGTAGAGCGACTTTCATCCTGTCCTGGCCAATAGGAGGCCACTAGGAGTGCCTGTCAGTCACAGGTGAGGGTTGCTGGTAAAAAAAACTGGGTGAAAAGGGCCGGAGACTGGAGGCAGCCCGGGCTGATGGCAGTCAGAGCTATGCGGAGGAGCAGCATCGTGCCTGCGGATGTAGCAGAAACTTTTCACGGCTTTTACCGCGGGGATGTGACCAGGAACCAACACTGGAGGGAAAGAATTAAGCGACAGCTGTGCTCCACGGAGGGAGTAGTCTAAAATGTGGATGAACTGACATTTATTGAACCGGTTGATTACACTTAAACTTGAAGAACCGAGAGAACTCCGCTTCTTTGAAAATGGCCGTTCGTGGCAACTCGCTGATGCCTTTCTCCATCCAAGCCATCCTGAACAAAAAGGACGAGAGCCGACACTTGCCAGATTTGGACATGTGCTTCTCCAAGACGGCTTGCTGGAAAATATTTGGGGAGATGAACGGAGGATCTCGGAGAGATGATGGGGAGGCTTGTGAGCCTGCGGACCAGAAAAGCTACGACTCGGACTCGGGACTCAGCGATGACAACGACAGCAAGACTCCGGCCGTGTGCAAGTCAGAGAAAGACGGAGACCCTGCGTCTGATGTGCCGCAGGAGAGTTTGCAAGAAGAGACGGACCAAGAGTCTGCAGCTGCGGAAAACGCAAAGAGTGACAGTGAGCCCAACAATGCTACGGGTGAGTTGGACTGAAAGAATCCCATGCAACTGATATAAAATAAAGTGTGGCACTCTGAATAGAACTGTAAATACTTGAGGAAAGTTATGTTGTAAACAGACACGTTTGAAAATGTTGAAAACTCGTGTTATTTTAATAGTGCAGATTAATACTGCTCGTTTTGCAGAATAACAATGATGTTGTTATTGTCGGATGCCAGGCCTATTAGAATATATTCTTTGCATAATTCACCACATCCTCCAACTTTTACGCACGAATTGTCCTAGTTTGATCCACGATCATCAACCCTGGCTCGTAGTCAAATTGTATCACTATAGCATTGTCTTAGATTAATAATAAGCATCAGGACTCTAAGTTATTTTATTCTGCTCCAATTCACTTGAGACAAATGTTAAAAACTACCAGACTCCCACTAGTAATTGAAGCATTTGCTAAGGAAATAAAATTCGAACTCAAACTAAATAAACACCTGCACACTGATGCTTGAATAACAACTCTGATACGACTTTTTCCACTTCAATTTGAAAACCAAAGCACCAAGTATATTTGATTAATTCATGGCAACTCATTTACAACACATTTTAAAATCAGAAAAGTGAAACACCCTAACGTAGGCCTACAAGTGTGCATACTTTGAATCTGCTTGCTTTATGTTTTTAATCAGTCTCACCCAAAACACGTACCTATCTCATTTCAAATCAGCACATGTGCTTCCAGCTGTATTAAAATAACAAAAACAAATCCTGGAATTCACTTGTAGTCTATTTTACATGTGTATATAGTTTACTTCTGACGCATTTACTATTTTATTTGATTTCTCTTCTGTTCTTCTTGCTTTATTTTGTATTGTTTCATTGTTATGTCTTATATATATGTATGTATGGTGCATTGTTGAAGGAGACTGGGACTTAAACGTTTAACTACATTGTAAATACTGTGCATTTGAATCTTGAATCATGTTGCATCTGCGTGTCTCCCAGACTCCAGCACCCTGGACGAGAAGAGTCAGGATCAGCCCAAACAGAGGAAGAAGCGCTCGAGGGCCGCCTTCTCTCACGCGCAGGTTTTCGAGCTGGAGCGTCGCTTTAACCACCAGCGGTATCTGTCCGGGCCGGAGCGCGCCGACCTGGCCGCCTCTCTGAAGCTCACAGAGACCCAGGTCAAGATCTGGTTCCAGAACCGCCGGTACAAGACGAAACGCCGCCAGATGGCCGCCGATCTCATGGCGTCGACCCCGGCTGCCAAGAAGGTGGCGGTGAAGGTCCTGGTGCGGGATGACCAGAGACAGTACAGCCCGGGAGAGATCCTGCGGCCCCCGCTGCTCTCCCTGCAGCCCTCCTACTATTACCCATACGCCTACTGCCTCCCTGCATGGACACTCTCTGCATGTGCGGGGAATCAGTGAACTACGTGACTGTATTTATTCCTTTTTATGTTTTATGACCCCGGAAATCAAACAAACTCTCTTTCTGACAAGAGGATGAGACCAGATGGAGACTTTTGGTCTCATGGTGCTTACCAGGTCTGGGTTCCCAAACGTCTTTATCACATCCTCAAATACTTAAACAAGACTCAGACTTTAATTAAATAAGAGTCTGTTCCAAGGAACCCCCGCTGAAGAAGACATTTCGATGTAGGCTTTAAATCACAAGACTTTGGACCTGATGTTTAAATGTTAACCTCTGAAGAGTGACATTAATAACATTAAAGTGTTCCTCTTTTTTCTCGGGAGCCCCTCAAGGACCTCTGAAGCCCCACGGACCCCCCTGTGGGAACCAGCGGCCTGATAGACTGTAAATGTCACCTTATGTTGGTTTATATTTTACATGCGCCTTCCTACCTCTGCAGTGATTGGAAATAGGCATATTCCATTGACTTTTCATAGAACTGTCTCTGTTACAGGTTGTGTTTTTTTTTCTTGCTGTGTTTATAAAGGTAAGATATTTCAGCACTTTTGAGCTATATACATTACTTTAATGTAAAATGCGTTGTAGTGTGTGTCAGACTGAGAGGGGGCGGTCACTTGTGTTATTATGATCTCGTGGCAGGAAGCAGGCTATAAAACCGACCGACTTTTAATTGAAATGTACATGTGTTATTTGTGTTAAGATCGAAAAAAACATTAAAAACATATCAGGCATTATTTTTATTCTGGATCTGATTTTATTTTAAGATTGTAAATTACTAATTGTAATATTGGGACGGTCGCGTTTTTTCTGTCCGATTTTACGAATACGTATAAGAACTAACATTGGATGCACTATAACTATAATTAGACAACTCGGTGATAAAAAGACAAATGCAATTATCATTACTCAGTGCTGAAAATACTATCTCTGCTACAACCTGAGTTTTAAGAAGCCTGGCTTTATTGTTAAAATCGAGACAATCGCAATGTTTTTTTCTGACTAATAAGCCTCTGTATAAGAGTGAAATGGCTTACAATTACTTATTTAATTGTCATAATATCTTAAGGACGTTGGTTCAGGACATCTTTGTGTGTTTTTGGCCAAATATGCAACAAATATAAATACGTTTATCAGCTTTATCCTGCGCATTTTTAGGGTAAAACGTGTGGATTTTTACCAAAGCTTTTTCTCCAAATACCAAAACTTCCATATGAAGGTTCCCGCTGTTGGGACTTTGTAGGTGTCCTACCACTATGGCTTTTTCCCAAACACACCTGTCAAACAATGATGAATAGCTGTGTGATTCCCGAACAGGGCAAACTGACAGCTACCTTTAGGGCTGCATGTCAACACAAGGAGAGGAGTATTCCGGGGTTAAGGAGGCCCATGTCACTGCGCCTACATTTCAGTCAAAGAAGGAAGAGTTGGCACATCGCAAACAATATTTTGTTGTCAACTGGCAAATACTTTAAGCTTGTCTCTCTACTTTTAGGCTTAATACTGCAATATATTACGGGAGTAGGCTATATTGTATTATGTCTCCACTAATAGCTTGGATGTTAAGTCAGGGTCAATGTGGAGCTGCTTTATCAGCCATCCATCTTTACCATTAAAGAATATCTACTGTACAACTCGTGCAGGCACTCTCACAGTCTGTGGGAGGCTGTATTGTGATAAACGTGAGTAATACGAAGAAATTAAATAAATCACAATTTGTACAACACCTTGCATAAGATGATCATAAGATGATAAAAAGAGCATAAAAGTACCAAAGATCAAAATTAACAACAGGGCCATTTCTGTGGACCAACCATGAGAAAGTATTTCCCCCCTGACAAAACTGCGCAATGGCAATCCGCTTTTACGCACCAACATCCGGGCATATGTTAACCTCTATGGTATATGTGGTTTTTGGCTAATCAGTGCCCCATCTTCTTTAATCCTATATAGAACATCCCTACTCACGAAAGGCGCCTATGTCCTAACATCAGATCTACCTGCATGCGGAGATATCTGATATAGAGAGATATTTCGCGGTTGTTTTTCCTTACAACCTTCGATCGCTGAAATGCAAACACCCCCATAGGTGTGCATTCCCCATTACTTTTTTTCCCTTCCTTCATTGTTTACATGACGTGCGTGGGAAATATCTATACTACTTACAGGCTGTGATTGTAAACCATTTGTTTAGGGTGTATTTCACCACCTGAAAATCTAATTATAGGGGAACCCAGAATATGTTTTTTTTTTATTTGCAACCTTTTTACGTCTGCTAAATAATGTATGCATGGAAGTTTACGCACAAGTCGCTGATTTTGTCTTTATTATTGTTCAACAGTAAACAACAATCTCAAAATTATTTTTAGTATTTTCTTTTTGGAGCATCATTTTTTTGATTTTTGTGATTTCGAAAAGACAACTCTGGAATTGGTTAAATTATGATTTCCCCAACAGAATTCGTGTTCACCTCGTAAAACATATCTCCATAAGATTTCGTTGTTCTTCGATTTATCTGGAAATTACTTACACAAGTTCCTTTCTGGCCTGAACTGATCTATGCTCCTGTGAGATGCTTTAACTCAGTCAGCAGTCATTATTTTCTCCTGCAGAGACTCTCCACAGTTGATATTGATTATAGAAAACTGGCATTTGCAATAGCTGCAGCTTATCGCCCGGATCCTCTTTTTTACATAATGGTTTGCATTTGTGGTTTTTACGGCGGAGCGAGCACAGATTGTAAAATGCACTGATGTCTCCTTTAAACGTCACTCCCGGTTAACCACCAGATTAAACTGTAAAACAACTCAATTTTTACAAAACTTTAAATATCGTATCCTTAATTGTGTACGGTTGGGTTTGATTTGCTTCAACGCTTTTCTAAGTATTTCTGAATTTCCTTTTTTCAAACTCTTTTTTAAATGTATAGTCTATTATGATATCAGAACACCCGTGTCTAAATATGCAGTAGGCTACCAAATGACAGATCACACTAAGAATTGTTTTTTTTTATATGTAGGCTAAGGCTTAAACAAATGCAATAATTCAACCATAAACAACCGATATTTTGCTTTAAGATATTTATTTTCAGTAGCAGGAATCAATAAAGGAATATTTCTCTCCCTGAAACTTATCATATAACCTGAGTTCTAATTTCCTCAACCTGATCATATGGAACAAACTAATCAAATACAAATATGCAAAGTTACTAAATTAAAATAGATATCTAAAATATGTTTAAATTCGTGCCACAGGCCCCTTTTGTTTGTTGTTTATTTTGGCCCATGCATACATTGAATAATGCCCTTGGTCTAATTTACATTAAGCCTTATTGCCTTTATTTGAATCAATGTTGTTCACTAATATTTCAAGTACAAATAAAAACTGAAGAACTTGTTTCATTGTAAAAGCTCACTGAAACAACATTTGGCGTTTAAGGCACTATCTAAAATATTGTAATTTAACCATAAAAATGATCAGAAAATAGCATTTTTGTAAGCTATTTTCACAGCTTCCATGCATTTTCGTGCAGCAATTTAGCTTAATATATAATAAAGCCTTCTCCATTTATGCGATACAATGACTATCCAAAACCCATGAGATGAAAAGAAGTCAATTGACAGATTTTTCCAACTGCTGTCTCAATTCGCCTTGGTCGTTTCTGTCTACAATCTTTTTGGAAAAACAATTAAGCTTAATTTCCCTTCAAAGCTTTGTGTCTGCTCAGAGTTAGCTGTCAATCACACCCTCATGTTGGAGCCACTGACCTGCCAGTCTCTGCCACCTGCTTCATGGCCCAGGTGCAAATTCCTCTGCTTCCCTCATGCTGCAGTGACATCCTCCCCTGCAGAGCAAAGAGAGTGAAAGACGAGGACTGTGATTCAACTTTTGGCCTGTAAAACACTGCAGCTATAGCATTTAGACGGGAATATTACAAAACATATAACGTAAAAGCATGAGTAACTGAGCGAGGAGTAAATATTAACACTAAACATATATGTAGTGGACTTTAGGGCATTTGAAGTAAAAAGGGTTAAAAACACAAGAATATTTTTTCTTTTTTCTGTACAAACAAATATAAATACAGGAGATCCTCCAAATTATTTTTAATATAGATATTGTTCTTGGGAATACTTGTGTCTTAACTCTCCTTTTGGACAGATTCTCATTTGTTAGGACTGTTAGAGATCAAGGTCATCAAGGACCACAATGAAAATCCTCTCATTGGCCTCATTATGTTTGAACATTTTATAAATACAAACAGGCTGCATTTTCAAGTCATTTATATATATGACAAAGGTATATCCTTGTTGTTCCTTAATATGATGCAATGTATCTTCTGGACTCCAAACCTAAAAAATAGCTATATATGTACTGTGATCACAAAAATGGAGAATAAAGTTTCTGTTGGCAATTGGTCGTGGAGAAACTAATTCAGCCTTGAAACGTGATTCTTTAACTACAATTTGTTCATGTTTATGTCTTGGAATAATTGAGCATAATTGACCATTACAGCAGAGAAAAATGTCACAAAAATAATTATTTAAATGTTCTGTCTTTGCATTTTGTCTGAGACCAATGTTACATTTTGCCAATAATAGTCATCATTTGGTAAATACATCAGTGTGTCATCACATTACACAGCTGGTAAGATATTCTTCTCCACTGTGGTGAGACTGAGCTGTGAATTTAGCTGTGGAAAAATTAAATATGTCCGTCTATCTATGATTAAGAGGCTTTAGGAATAACTTTAACCTCATAATAGTTGATGAACACTGCAGACTCTATAATGATTTAAGAGGTAAAAACCTAAAAGGTGGATTTCAGTGTGTGATGGAGATCTTCAGACTTTAGATCTCTGTTTTCATAGCCATGAAACTTTTGATTCACTTTGACATGACATATAGGCCTAGTGCATGTGTATGTGTGTGAGTGTGTGTCAAGACAGTGAAAGCATTTTGATGTTGGAAGCACATTATACATCTTCTATATGTCAAAACGGGTTTTCAGATACAATATTAATATATTATCATATTTATTAAACTGTATTACTACTAAAGTCAATGAGACCATGTGTCTGTCTGTCTGTCTGTCTGTCTATTTTTTAAGAGAGGCAGAGAGAGAATTTCATTCAATATAAAAAATATATATAAGGGTATCTCCATCTTTTAATGAGACAAATGGAGGCGTTGCAGCAGCAGAAAGTACGAAATAAATACATAAGTGCAAGAAAAATAAAACAAAAGGTAGTTTTATACTTAAATAAAATGGAAATTATAGAACATTTGACAGTGACAGTGCTACCCCGGAGGGAGCCAACCTTGATAATCACTGGCCATGTAGGACAGATCAACATATTTAAAAAACTGATCATATGTTTTTTTGTTTAAACTTGGAAAATAAGTAACCTGACTACAGTTGTCAATAAAACTAGCAGAGTCAAAAGAAGCCCATATTTAAGTAAGCGATAAAGTAGGCAGAAAATATAAACGTTCCTACATTATAAATGTAGGAGTAGTTGAGCTATTTTTATTGCTGTATAAACGGTTACCTACTTTAAACACTTTTTAGGCAGATGTTTTTATTCTTTATTTGGGGTCACATAGTATGTGTAATACCTTTTGCTCAGTATAATCTATTTAAGTGACCCACACATAGCAAACAAACCAACGTAAAATAAAATACTTAATAAATAAGCAAAACTGCTTTGAGGTGTTTCTGTTTTCA